GATGCTGAGTGAAATAAGTCAATTGCAGAAGGACAGGTAAAAAGACTGTAAAAAGACAAAGAAGGGTTTGCTTGTGAAAGGGAACTCACTTTGTATGTTACCGGGGTTAGGAGGGAAGGGAAGGGATTAATTCCAGGCTAGTTGTGGCACACACTGACATGGGTAAGGGGAGGGATACATGGAAAGAGTCTGTGACCACCATGATAACATTAGGAAAAGAGAGGACACTGAATTGTGCACATAGGAGATAGACGACAGATGCTAATACCAACCAGTGTGCCCACAATACTGTATTACCATTAACACCAAACACCATTTTTTCCCAATCAACACATAAACACCAGAGAGGACCAGATGGGGGTCAGTGAACAGGAGTATACTCTAGACCAAGGATAGATTCAGCGCAGGCCAATCTTGCACAGATACCAGTGATACAAAATACCTGCAATCCTTACAGAAACAATAGAAGACAGACACAGAGCAATCCTTCACAGACACCCAGACACTATGGGAGAGAGAGCCAATGGATCTATCATCTCAGGATCATAGTACTTGGGGACACCAGACTCAATTGGCACAACAAAATACATAAAATCCTTGTTCTTCATCCTACATTGGTGAGTAGCATCTGGGGTCTTAAAAGCTTTTAAGTGGCCACTAAGATGCACCTAATGGTTTCCTAGCATCAGAAGTGAAGAAGAGTGCAAAAAACAAGGGCATTTGGAAGCAATCATCCCTAGGATATGATGGTCTCGAGACCAGAAGAACTAGATGGCGCCCAGCTACCAATGCCAACCACTCAGGAAAGGATCAAATCTGGAGATCCTGGATAGAGTTGGAGGGAAAACGTGGAACAAAATCCAAAAACTCAATAATGACCAGAATTACTGGTCAGATGGAGTCTGGTGAGACACCCAATACTATGGCCCAGGAATACATTCTGCACCTGGAATAAAACTCACTCCCAGGGGCTGGCTCTCAGCCCAATAGTTAACAAGATGTACATGCAGACCACTCAACTCAGGGTGACTCACCTACATACTCTATGAAAATACCTCCCTTAGAGCAATAGACCACAGTGCACCAGAGGAGCAACATTCACACAGAGGTAATGCAGGACCAACAGGAGTGCATAACCATGAAGGGCACAGGGGGAGGGTTAGTAGGCAGGGAGGGGAGGAGACTGAGTTAGGGTTGGGCATGGTAAATGGGGAGTGAAACTAACGTTGAATTTTAAAAAAAAAA